CACACACGTCTTAGTTTTCGAGATCGCTGTAACGTACCCCAACCCTACGTCCCCCGAGCTCGCTCAAGTTCTCGCAAACCCGTCACCACTCGCCCAAAAAGGGCATCTTCCAGGCCACGCCGAAAGGCGGCTACGGAAGCGAGTGACAGTTGGTGCTGGTTCCATAGGTCCTTCGGGTCTGGCGCCCGCCGTTGTCGAGCACCATGCTCATACAAGGCGGGAAACGCCAGCGCCGGCGAGTAAAAGCGGCCGTACTCGCCGGCCCTTTACCCCAGGTTGGTCGCCTATTCTACGTGCACGATTACCGCACGAACGCTAGGTTCCTAGTAGACACTGGGGCCCAAGTTTCTGTCGTACCACGAGGTAGCAGCAAGTCACAAGCCACAGTGCTTCGACTACGCGCTGCGAATGGCTCAGTCATTCCTACCTACGGTACACGACAACTCGCGGTCAACCTGGGCAACCGACGACGGTATCTGTGGACGTTCATCATTGCTGATGTTCCCACAGCCATACTAGGTATCGATTTTCTACAGCACTATGAATTGCTTGTCGATTCACGTAGGCTGCAGCTAATCGATACTTCGTCGAACAGCAAATTCATGGGCTGTAAAGCCCACATGAACGCGTACCGAATCCTGGGCACTTTTTATTCGCGTGACGATAAATTCCACGCTTTATTCGAGAAATTCCCCGTAATCACTAAACCACTCGAGGAGCTTCCATCGGTGACCAATCGTGTGGTACACCACATAGTCACCCGCGGACCGCCAGTCACGGCACGACCTCGCCGACTGGCACCGGACAAATTAGCTTTTGCTAAGCGTGAGTTTGACAATTTACTAGCTACTGGTATTATTCGTCCTTCTCACAGTCCATGGGCCTCTCCTCTACACATGGTGCGCAAAAAAGATGGGGTTAGTTGGAGACCATGCGGCGACTACCGAGCTCTAAACGTAGTTACGCGCTTTGATAGCTACCCCATCCCCCACATACACGACATCACGGCATCGCTCAAGGGCACGACTATCTTTTCTAAGATCGATCTGGTACGAGCATATCATCAGATCCCGGTCGCTCTTGAAGACATCGAAAAGACTGCTATCACGACTCCTTTCGGTTTGTTTGAGTTCCTACGAATGCCATTTGGATTACGGAATGCTGCTCAAACTTTTCAAAGGTTTATCGATAGCATTGTACGAGACCTCGATTTTGTTCACGTCTATATTGATGACCTGCTAATCGCATCATCAAACGTAGATGAACATTATCAACATCTTACGCTATTATTCCAACGCCTTTCGGATAATGGAATAGTAGTTAACCCAGACAAATGCGAGTTAGGTAAACGAGAAATCATATTTCTGGGTCATGTTATCAAGCAAGAGGGTATTCTACCTTGTGAGGACAAAGTGCAAGCAATAAAGGAGTACAACGTGCCGTCCTCACTCAAGGAACTGAAGGCTTTTCTCGGTTTGGTTAACTTCTACCGTCGTTTCATCCCACACGCGGCAGAACGGTTACGACCACTAACCGACTTACTACGCGGCAACCCACGCAGATTGGAAATGAACGATTCTGCACGTACTGCATTCACTGAAATCAAAACGGCTCTTGCGCAAGCCACTCTTCTCGCCCATCCCGATCCATCAGCCACGCTTAGTATAGCGGTTGATGCATCCGATGTTGCTATAGGAGCAGTCATGCAACAAAACATCTCCGGTAGTTGGCAACCTCTCGAGTTTTTCTCACGACGCCTCACTACCACGGAGACGAGATATAGCGCTTTTGGTCGCGAGCTGCTAGCAGCCTACTGCGCCATCAAACATTTTCGGCACGCAGTAGAAGGACGTCGATTCATTTTATTCACCGACCATAAGCCCTTAACGTATGCTTTGCATACCAAGTCTGACCGCTACTCACCACGAGAGTGCAGACATTTGGACTATATCTCCCAGTTCACGACAGACCTTCGTCACATCCAAGGCAAGTCGAACTGTGTTGCCGATGCTCTATCACGAATCCAAATGAATGCAGTTACCCTGCCGGTGCTCGATCTTCCTGCTATGGCCGCTGCCCAAGCAAACGATCCCAGCTGTACAAAGCACCACACTCTACGTCTCTTCAGTATCAGGAAGTACCTCTAGCCACGACTTCTGGCACCATTCTATGTGATACGTCTACCGGTCTTCCTCGACCCATCGTACCCTCTGCTTATCGCCGTCTCGTTTTCGATGCCCTGCATGGATTATCTCACCCAGGTATCGCAGCTACATTACGCCTCATCGCTGCACGATACGTCTGGCCGTCCATGAATAAAGATGTTCGTATGTGGGCTAAGCAATGCTTACAATGTCAACGATCAAAAGTGCACAGGCACGTAGCCGCCCCCCTCGGTACATTCGCTACGCCTGATGCTCGCTTCGATCACGTTCACTTAGACATTGTAGGACCACTGCCACCATCGCACGGGTATGATCACATACTCACGTGCATCGACCGCTTCACCAGATGGCCCGAAGCTATACCCATCACGTCTATCACGGCGGAGACAGTTGCTCACCGCTTCGTAGAACGATGGATAGCTCTATATGGTTGTCCCTCGACTGTCACGACTGACCGAGGACAACAATTTGAGTCCGCACTATTCTCCTCACTTACTCGGCTGCTTGGTACGGAACGAATACGCACTACCGCCTACCATCCAGCTTCAAACGGTTTAGTTGAAAGGTTTCATCGGCAACTTAAAAGTGCTCTTCGAGCACACGAAAACGACGACTGGTACGAAACCTTACCGCTCGTTCTTTTAGGTATCAGAACGAGCTTAAAGGCAGATATCCAATGTTCCGCCGCTGAACTTGTATACGGCACGACATTGCGTCTGCCCGGGGAATTCTTCACACCACGGAGCAGACCTAATTTCGCTAAATCAGACTACGTCCAACGACTGTCTGCATTTATGCGAACGCTGTCTCCGGTGTCAACTCGAATACAACATCGACAGGTCGCTCTCCCTCGAGAGTTATCTACCTGTTCACATGTTTTCATACGAGTAGATTCGGTACGCAAACCTTTGCAACAACCTTACGAAGGCCCTTTTCGCGTGATCGCTCGTCACGAAAAGACCTTCAAGGTTGATCGACACGGCCGCGTCGAGATCGTCAGCATTGATCGTCTCAAACCAGCACACGTCGATGACAGTGCCCTATCTGATAACCTGAGATTCAATGCTAGACCAAGCAAACCTACTAGCGGGATCCTCAAACCATCTTCAGGTCCCACGCTAGATGCACCTGAGACCTCACTCTCACGTCCCAGTCAACAGCACGCGTCATCTGCACCGTCTACGGACGAGACGACAGTCTCACGTCCAGATCAGCAGACCACGCCGCCCTTGACTTCGGATGAGATTGCAGGCTCACGCGACGCGAACGAGACTGCCGTCTCACGTTCCGGTCGCCGAGTACGTTTACCCGTACGCTTCCTCGACTAGTCGCACAATCAACAACCGATACGGTGTAGGGTTATTCCTATACTACACGCATGCTACACTCTTCTCTTTTTTGATTTTCTTTTTGTTTCCTGAGCCCACGCCTTCGACCATCTCCGTTTGGTTCCGTCGACTTCAGTCAACTTTGGCGAAAGCTGGCCTGATCACCCACGCTCTTGTCAACGTACTCAGTCGATATCTTCGTTTCGAATGTTTGGCACACGCTTGGTCTCGAACTTGGTCGTTATGGTCGCTTCTGGTTCATCGGATCAACGTGGTTTCGTCCTACGTCTGCAGCGTTTCTGGTCCGGACCCCTACGAACGCCATCTTCAGATTCTGGATACAAACCACTCTGGTGTAGCATGCCAACTCAAACAATAAATACAACACATCGCTCCTGGTACCGTTCTCCGAAAACGACCTACGTTGGCAACTCGACGATCAACGATCGCTTTCCTGTTCGCCAATTCTTCCGTCCTACAATCGCTCGTCAGCCGATCAGTCCCACGATTCAAACCGCTATTTATCGAAAGTGTAAACCCTTTCTAGCGGGGGGCTCCTGTAGTGACTCACATTTATCACGAGAACACGACTGGTTTAATAAAAACAATTATTATTATAACCAACTGTACCAGTGTTTGTTTTAATGTGCTTTTGTTTAACTGTGCTAATTATAGCCATTTTGTGCTTCCATTACCTTCCATCATTGTTCCGCGGTTTTTGGTACTGTTCGCACGTACTCCTGTCTTCTGCTTCCACTTGTACCACTTCTTGGCACGATCTCGGTATTCGTTCAATACCACGAGATCGCCAACGAAATAAATCTGGTTACATTCAACCTCGCCTTCTGATTTATCTGGCACGTGTTTTCTGGTAGCGGTGTTCACAGTTAATCTCAACTCGACGCCACGCTACAACGGAATACAATCACATCACGGTAGTCTGCACACTTTACTGCAGTCATTTGATGACCGCAGCCACACGTACAAGAACTTCTTAGTAGTCTCATCTGTTGTAGCCTCTCAATAATCACCTCTTCTCTAAAATCCGCTGTAAACCGATCGTATGTGAGCATCAGGCGTTGAACTTGGCTCCGTGACCTTGAAATTGCTCAGACGCTTCTGATTGGCTCGTCCGTAAATTAGAGTCTCGTCAAAATCATCATCATGGCGCCAAGAATAATGATACAACTCAGTATCCACCTGTTTCTGTCAAAATAAGTAGTATGGTTAAAATATGTGATATATGTTTATCTTATGCTCATTCGCTCATTTCTTGGCATTCATTTGTTCCACACACAATAATTATTCCCATCCTATGTAAGGCTAAATGATTCTTCCGTTATTAATCTTAAAAAACCGCAAATTTGAATACATAGAAGTTCTACCAATACGGCAGTCAAAAAGAGGAGAAACCAGAGATGGTGGTGGATAATCATAAGTGACAGTGGCATAAACTAGAAGTTACATGAAGTCTTCTTCCACTTTAATAAATCTACAATGAAATAACTCATTCATGAATATCACTACAATTTAAGTTAACACTCAAAGGAGCTGATTTCAATATGTCAGAAGCATGATTCAGCATGTGAAGTAATAAGTGCTTCAATGGATCGTTCGCTTACAAAAACAAATTTGGAAACAATGAAGTATACAGGAAAGCATACTGTCATTATCATTACCATTATTATTATTATTATTATTATTATTATTATTATTATTATTATTATTATTATTATTACTATCAAAAGTATTTTCCCTAGTGTATGTAGTCGAATGTATAAATTTCATTTGAATAATACCAATTCGTAGTTTAATAAAATTTTCCACTACTGCAACACATATTTCACAACAAAAAGCGGCCTGCTTGAGCATCTGGGCTACCTGTTCCTGCCATCTAAATATTTCAACAAGTTATCTATTTTTATTTGTTTTAATATCTCAATATGTTTATTAATCACATGATGTATTCTGCTGCGTTTCTGAAGTGTACAAACTTTCGCTGTCAAAGTTACAAAAAGCTCAATAAGAGACAATGTGGTTGCTGGCAATATACAACGAAAAGAATGCACATTATTCAGATGCCCATTTACTGAACTGCTAACATCTAACTGGCGATCACTCAATATTTATCGCCAGGACCGACCAAGAAGAAAGAAACGGAAACCTGTTGAAATACTTTGCGCTGCGAATTCTATATTGTACCAAAAATAAAATATTGAATAAAGCTGATAATAATAATAATAATAACACGAATAGAAAGTTCTCAAAATTACCTGTCATTAATGGTCAGCCAAATCATGTGGACTGAAATCCTAATTTTGTTTTACTTAAAGAACCTCATATATGAAATGTTCTCTAAAAATTTTAGATAATATTTAAACTGTATCATTGAAAGATAAATCCCGAGGATTCTGTGGCAGAATGAAGTTTACATGTTTATTATATTCAGGTGTGCCAAGTCTCCTCAGAAGTAAGCAAACTTGAGCTGCATCATCGAAATTCGATTATTTGATACGGAATTTGTCTTCGAAACGATGAAACCAGGAGTCAAATATGATGCTAGATTCAGGATCATAGTTGAATTTAATAATGGGATTTCTGTTGCAAACATATTCATCTGGTTGGGAGGTTGAAAATAGAATAAAATGAGAGCTTCTGCGTTAGTGTATCCAAAAGCTTCATTTTATTTGCATCACTCCGCGCTTGTTGAATTCATAAAATAGTTTTAATTTCGTTCAGTAATACAGACATTTTGTTTCGGATTGATCAGTATTCAAAACAAAATCGCCATCGCCACTTTTGTTCCGCTCTTGATCTGTCTACACAATAATATGCAGTAGAGAACTTATCTTGATCTAGGTTAAGACCTTGACACGATGGACTAATTGGTTCAACCTATATTTGGTAAAATACCATGAGAAATCTTCTAAGAAACTGATTCATTAAAAAACTTGTCTCACGATGGTTGTAAGTTTTTTGATACACATTTATTCATTGTGCTTCTCCAATTATTTTCTGAATATAAGTTCCTCAAGCTTTCTGAAGAAATATCAAGTGAACCATAGGTTTATTTTGGTTGGAGCCTAGTTACAGAGTAATGCAACCCTAAAAAGGCTTCATTTAATTCTGGATTAGGAGCTTCATTTACAGAATCTTCTGTTTCTTGGTCCTGCGGTACTGTCAAAGCTTCCTGTGCATTTAACAAAACATTATCTTGTTGTGAGCTGGACAATTCACTAACTGTACATTCTTCTTCAGGCATAACAGGGTTCTAACCCACCACGAGGCATGGTTTTGAATCGGCCATAACTAGATCACTAGGGAGGGTCACGTATGACTGTCAGCGTTTTTTCTAAATTAATGTTTGTCAAAGTTCCATACTTCCCTTCACTGATGCACTCATTCATTCCACAATCACTTATTACCTCTGTACATAGTTTAAAAATATATTACTCAATGTCAATCATATCCCCAAAACGTAGATGATTAAGTCCAACCAAACGTAATTTCTCTATCACTAACAGCTGGGCTTTTTTAAATCTGATGCAACAGAGACAGCGACCCGCCAGTAGCTCACCTAAAGTAATGTCGGTCTCGAGTACGGGTAAAAGAGGAGAATAGATATAAAACAACCTTGATGAAAACACACTAACCACGATAAACAAACCAAACCATTTCAACTCTGCCCTCTAAGTTGAAGGATCATCATTCAGAAGAACTATAACACCTCATGGTGAAAGCCGAGATTCTTCAAAAGTCACGAGGTCAATGTCCCTTCAAACAACCAGAGCAACAATTTACATGCGTAAATAGAATGTCCGGAAAATGTGAGAGATTGGAAGGAGCAGTCAAATAGCTGCAGAAATAAACAGATACAACTCGATGGTGCACACAATAGGTAAAACCACATGAAACAAAGAGGGACAGAAAAGATTAGGTTCACGAGAGATACTGGTGTAATCTTATCGTGAAGAAGAAAATGCTCCACACACTCAGAGAGTTGCTCTGATTCTGTCCAGTGAAGCGAGAAAATCACTCATAGGATGGGGATCTCATGGATCCGGAATCATCAAAGCATCATTCAAAACAAAGAACGAGGGAATCACAATGAATGTTATACATCAACGAATGATAGCGACGAAGACGACAGAGATCAGTTTGACACGAGGCTGAAACCAATCATAGAGAAGTGCTCAGGAAAGGATCAGATCATCCTGATGGGAGAGCTAAACGCCAAAATCGGGATGGATAACACCGCGTATGGATATATCATGATATAACGAAGAAACTAACAGTGAAATTTTGTAAACCAGAGTGACCGGTCAAGGACAAAGAAGGCAAACCAGTCAGTGAGAGTTAAAAACAGTGGAACAGGTGAATACAGTAGTTTGAATAACTCTTGAATAGGTCAGCTACATTGAATCCACCGGACATCGAAACAACACACACAGACCTTCCCACACACATGGTCACCAGACAACTGGAAATTGGGAAAGCAGTAGGACCAGACAATATATCAGCTGAAGCAACGAAGTCAGACACAAAAGCAACTACAAACATGCTCCACGTTCTAGTCACAGAGATTTGGAAGGAGGAACAAGTGCCGACAGACTGGAAACAAGGAAATCTCATGAAGATACAAAAGAATGGAAATCTGAGCAGATGTGAAAACCTTAGTGGCATCACACTACTATCAGCACCAGGAAACGTTTCCAACAAAGCGTTGTCGAACCGGATGAGAGATTCAGTAGACGCCCAACCTCAAGATCAACAGTGTGGATTCCGTAGGGGTCAGTGATGCACGGACCACACCGTGACATTACGGATTGTCGTTGAACAATCAATTGAATGGAACTCGTCACTATACATCAACTTCCTTGACTATGAGGAAGCATTTGGCAGTTTGGATAGGAGAGCCGTATGGAACCTTGTTTGACACTAAGGTGTGAGTAGCTGAGAAAATCGTCAACATCATCCGGAATTTATACGACGGACTACACTGCAAAGTCGTGCATGGAGTACAGCTGACAGAAGTATTCCATGTGAGGACCAGTTTCAGACGAGACAGATTACTCTGCTCCCTTTTTCTTTCTTCTGGTGGTTGACTGGATTGTGGAGACCTGGACATCTGAGGGGAATCACGGGATACAATGGACAGCTTTACTAAATAATTAACACCTACCGCATTTGTTCGGACAAATATGCCAAGTTTTTCAATGCTACGATTTGTGTTGTCATTCCAACTAACTCCTGCAATTACTATAGCATTTTTTCCCGAATTCAACTTCTTTTTTAATTTTTTATGGTCAATCAAAAATGAAATGACAAAATCGCTTATCAGAATGATAACTTCTATCACATTGTCTGAGCTAAAGCAATAACATGAAATCAGCACTATCAGTCTTGAATCAACTCTGAACCTTGATTTGTCCTATGTATAAAGGTGTCTCAACCAATTCATCCCATTCAGTTCAGAAGACACATATCAGCCTCTATTATATGGATTGCATATTTTAGGTATACGTGGTTTTATTCAAGCAAACCAGAATGCAGTACACCATAAATTAAATACAACATTAAGCCAAAAGTGGCTGTGAATATAGGAGGCTGTAACTAAGGAACTGAAAATAAATTAAGAATGGTAATTCGTATAACAGTAGACAATATGTCAGATTAAATCTTACTATAATAGGAATATGATCATATATGTAAAATCTGGAGACGAAACTAAATGTTAGTATTTACAAATTTTGGATGCAGCGAAATCTTCAAAAATAGCTCCCATTGTTCATCATGGCTAGTTCATTTCTCTGTTCACATCACAACGATCGCTAGAATGAGCAAGAAAATGAGTAAGAAGCACCGTGATCACTACAATAAACGAAGAACGAAGGTTACATTCCAACACATAAAATTCACGCAATATACGGAAACCTTAACAGATAACCTGAGGGAGGACTATAGTCTAAAACAAATTGAATAAATTATAATGAGCACTGCAACTGAAATTTCCAAATAAGCTAGGATGACATGAGCTAAACATGTACGGCGAAGTATACTGACCCACTACAATAAAGAGGAGATCAGAGAAAAAGTAAAATAGGGAAAAGTGGCTCAACAAACCAACAGAGTTAATCTTGAATAACTACTTCAGGAAGTGGAACAGCGTCAACGGACGAGCAAAGTAATTTAGAGAAAGCCATTAAAAAACACAGACCAACTGTACACAAAATGAGCATCACCAACCGTACATACGGCTAAATTCTGTGTAAGTGATAACAAAGAAAAACGTTCGTACAACTAATATGAAGGTAGTATTTATCGTAGGCTAAAACTAATTGTTGAATTACCTTAAGTTATCAATCGAATAAAAAAATATATCATTCAGCTTTTTATCATCGCTCCACAGGAAATAAACCAGTGATAGATTCCCATCAGCTTTATCTACTTTTACCCGTTAAACCATTCTACTGGAGCCAGATGTATTGGGCATAAGACTAGGGAGTTCGATCATCAAACTTCTAAAAATCAGTTTGTTGGTTAAGCAAACCATAGTTGAGGACATTCAAAAGCTCTATTTTGGCACATCTACTCAACGGTAGACAACAAGTTGATGTACAAGTTTTCAACGTAATCTATCAAGTCCTATTTAACCTACTCGGCATATTAAATGCTCAAGATGCTCAAGAATGATAATAGTTGGTTGTCTGCTTAGTCAGACATGTAGGTAGTATGACAGGTGTCAGATGAGTTATATATTCCTCTATCCTTATTACTATTATGACTTT